ACCTCTAGAAATATGTTTTTCGAAAAATAAATTTTTGATGTTCTTTTAACCTCTCACCCACACCCACCCACCCCTCCGCACGGTCACCCAATGGTCCTCAGATTCGAACTCCCCGTATCGAAAAACCTCTAGAAATGTGTTTTTCGAAAAATAAATTTTTGATGTTCTTTTGACCTCTCACCCACACCCACCCACCCCTCCGCACGGTCACCCAATAGTCCTCAGAATCGAACTCCCCGCTTCGAAATACCTCTAGAAATGTATTTTCTAAGAAATTAATTTTCGATGTTCTTTTGACCCTGGCACAGACAGACAGACAGACAGACAAACAAACGCATTTTCGTTTTTTTCGTATCACCCTCCTTTCAGTCGAGGGAAAAATACCTAAGCGTATGCACATATTTAGTAAAACAAAACCGCAAAACGCCTTCATATTCATTATTATATAGCAATTTTTCCCACATATTTCATTTCTCTTATATTCTTATATTTTACTTAAAATAATATACAAATAAGTACTATCCATATATAGATTTTATACTTTAGGCATTAAATATTATTATTTTTATATTACAGCTACTTCAATCCGAATTATACAATTACAAAACATTAACAATAGATAACATGACAAACAAGTATTGTTTTATTATTACTAATACAAAAAATTAATTAACCCATTTAATTATTTCTTCTTTAAACTAAAACCCAATACTACATAATCCAAATGAAATAATTTCAAACAAAACATATTCTCGCTAGACCAAATACTACTTCAATCAACAGTACCATAACTTCAAAAAAATAAAATAATAAAACAATCAAGAAAATCGACTATCCAGTTATTCAAGAACATGATAACCATCAAAATATTGCTATTTTAACCATATCTTAAGGTAAACATTAACGTAAGTCTGTTCCTTATTCCTTTTTCTTTCTTCTACATTTCCGAATTAAAATGAACTTATTCAACATCAAACACTATCTAACATACTATCTAAATACTAAATTTAATATATTTTCAATTAAGTTTGATTTACTTTCAACTAAACTACATACAGTATAATAATCTACTTTATCATTTGATAAACCATCGAATGATCTTAGCAGAAGTGAAATCTAGATTATGGCAGCTAGTCCACACCACTAGGACATACTGCACGTAAGCCACACCAAATTTTGTTCAATTCAAAATCACAATTTTTTTTCTTATACTTTCGAGTAGTACGCCAAAGATAATGATTACCGAGAACATTTCGAATCAGGCTGATACCGCTGATTCGAAGAAAATTTATATCAAAGGCGATTATTTTATCACTGTCTTGGAATTACGTTACTGTAGTTCCGGTAATTTTAGCAATTTCTATAGAAAAATCGTCTATAAGGAGATTTGTATCGCAGTCAGGAAAAATCGAGTAAGGATAAAACGTAGGATATAATACTCAAAAAAATGTGCTCTACAAGATAGGGTTAACTGCAGATTGATTCGAGCACATTTTTAGAAAGTCGGATGTAGTTTACGTGCAATGTCTCCTAGGTTGTGTAATTACTATTATATATTAATATAATTTAGTATATAACTATGTAATTCATTGAAAGTTGATTTTGATCTTTATTTTAAGATCATTACTAATTCATTATCAAGCCATCTGATGATCTTCTTAGCAGAAGTAAAATCTAAATTATGGTAGCTAGTCCACACCCACACCCTCAAGATATATGTGTTAATTGTTTCACACAAACACGCTCAAAAAAGGAGAATTTTGTCATTATAAATTAGTGTTTAAACCTTTTTACTATATTTAGTTTTTTGTTCGTTGAATTCGTTTTTAATCATCTTATATTTAATCAATTAATTGTGTTTTTACTAATTTTTCATTTTTAGTAAAAAGATTATTAACCAATTCGATTGTTATTGATGATTTATTCGAAAAAAAGGCAAATATGTTTGTTTCTACTTAACAAATTTTAATCGAATGGAATCAATTTATTTATCAACTGGAGGGTGTTGAGGTAGTGTACGTGCAACAACCTGTTCTTGACCCCAATGGACTATACCGGGAAAATTATTTGGATCAACACGAGTATGAGCATCTAATTGAGGATTTCCAGATATATTGATTCCTTCAAAACCACCTGTTGATGGAGGAACATTTCCTACA